AAAACAAAATTTCCATACAAAATCTAATTTATAAACTGTTTATAAAATAAAAAATTTTTTATGAATAAGGGGGAAAAAGTTTTTAAGTTCTTTACCAGTTTCTTAAATTTTTATTACTTCTAAATAAAAGTATAAAAAATAATTCTTTTTGCCTTTAGGGTACATAAAATCCTACATTGCCGCCATGAATGCAAAAATTTCGTAAATAGACTAAAAACAAATTATACATTTTTAAGACTCTTCCCCAAATCTTGTTCTATTTGCTTTATATGTGGGACGATACTACACTTTCTTTGTCCGTTAATAAGGAAAATATGATGCATTTCTAATATATATTATTCATTTTTGGCTTGATTTTCTAATTTATTGCCAAAATTAAAAAAAAGTATTCGAAAAGTCTAATACGTATTACCTATAAGGTCGTTGGTCTATATAATGTCAACAAAATTGTTCATGGATAATTGATGAAATTGTTTAAAAGCTATTATTACTTATCAGAAAATTATTAACTTAATTTAAAATTATATTACAATGAAAAGATAAACAAAAATAGTTTTTGATTAGAAAATGAGAATACGTGGAATCAACAATAGATTTATAGTTAAAAACTTTATACATTTGTTTTTGCGAAAAAGTACTTACGCCAAAAGTAAAGTGCTAAGTTTTCTCCCTGTTTTATTCGCCTCATCATGTCAAACTTACAGTTTTATAGACGTCGTCTGTTTATGGCACGATTTGTTTACTTTTATCATGATAAGCTTTCATGAAAGTCATGCGAATAAAAAGTTTATTATAAATTTAACCCCTAATTAAGTTTAAAAATAGAGATAACATGCTCTGATTTCTTTCTTAATATTAAGTTTAGGTGATATTTTTTCATTATTTTTATTGATATACAATAATTTGTTTGTTTTCCGACGAGATTTATTCAACTTCTGTTTAGTTTTATACTCTTTGAGAATGTTGCTCTCCAATTTGTTTTACTCTCTTTGGCGCAAAAATGTTTATAAAATTATCACTTGTGATGATAAAAAATTGCGATTTACACATTTGAAACTAGACTATATACACTATATATAATATTTATTATGTTGATGGATCTATTAATATAAAAAAAACAAACAAATAAAAACTGAATGAAAAATTCAACTGGTTACGTTTTATTTGTTTTTTTTTTTTTTTTTTTTTTTTTTTTTTTTTGCGAAAATAATAAATATATCAAATGCGAGTGTGACAAGAAATATAACGTACAAATTATTTCAAATTTGTTTATTTAAAATATCGATACATGTTTTCAAGAAAATGCTAAATATCTACAACATTCCTATAAAAAATTCGAAATATCGAGACTTTTTTTTTAACAAAAATTAAAAATATTCAAACATTTTCTAGGAAAAATTTAAGATATCGAAAATTTTTTTAAAGAAAATTCAAAATATAGATAATTATAACTGATTATAATGTAGGTTAAACGATTTTTTAATACATTACAATGTCGTTATAATGGATTTTAATACATTATATCATATTAAAACCCCATTATAATAGATTATAATTCATTATAATATTATTATAATGGAGTATTACTCATTGTAGTGCCATTATAAAAATTTGTAATACATTATAATCACAATATAATGGATAATAACCTGTTATAATAATGTTATAATGGATTATAATACGTTATAATCAAGTTGAATAGATTATCACTTCTTGTAATGCCATTATAAAGATTTATAATATATTATAACTCATTATAATATTATTATAATAGATTATAATACAATATAATCCCATTATAACACATTAAAACCCCATTATAATGGATTATAATTCATTATAATAGTATTATAATGGACAATAACTCATTGTATGCCGTTATAATGCATTATAATACATTAATGTCTCATTATAATAGATTATAACTCATTACAATAATGTTATTACGGATTATAATAAATTATAATCCAATTAAATCATTATAATTTTGTTATAATAAATTATAATACAATATAATCCCATTATAATACATTATAACACATTAAAACCCCATTATAATAGATTATAATTTATTATAATAATATTATAATGTATAATAATTCATTGTATGCCGTTATAATGCATTATAACACATTAACGCCTCATTATAATAGATTATAACTCATAGCAATAATGTTATTACGGATTATAATACATATAATCCAATTAAATTGATTATAACTCACTGTAATAATATGTTATAATCCAATTATAATGCAGTTATAATGGATTATAATACACAATAACAGTTTAAAACCCCATTGTAATTGATTGTAACTCATTATAATAATATTATAATAGATTATAATAAAATATAATCAAATTAAATACATTATGACACATTAAAACTCCATTATAATGGATTATAATTCATTATAATGGATTATAATATATAATATAATTATATAATTATAATTATAATAACCCATTTTATTCTGATTATAAAGATTTATAATACGTTATAATCTCATTGTAATGCAGTTATAATGGATTATAATACATAATAATCGCATTTTAATGGATTGTAATATATTATAAATTAATTAAATTTATTTATTTCTCCTTATAATACATAATAATGAAATATTTTCTAAATTATCGATAAATTTTCTAAAGCAAATAAAAGTTATCGAAAAATTTTCTCAAGAAAATTCAAGTTATCGTTTTATTTTCTATGAAATTGTCTACTTTTTTTTAAATATTAATAATTATTTATCATTTCAAATTTTTACTAAAATATTTTCTTGCAATAACATTTAACAGGGTCTTGTTGTGGCCGGCTTAAGTGATTTGGCACGTCCCGCCGAAACTCTATCAGTTTCACAATGTGGTGCCTTAGCTGCGACCGGCATAATCTGGTCGCGTTACTCTTTAGTGATTATACCCAAAAATTGGGGTCTATTTTCGGTGAATTTATTTGTGGCCATGGTACAATCCGTACAATTGGGACGTGCCTATTTGTATCAAAAGGAAAAATCTGAAAAAGAAGCGGCAGCAGCAGCAGCAGCTGCTTCACCCAATACACCCGCCTTAGAAGCTGCTAAAAAATAAATTAGTGAAATTGTAAGTTTTATTTCTCTTTTTAAAAATATTCTAAAATAAATTAACTTTTATATTTGTTTCTTCGTTTTTTGCAGTTATTTTTCTAACAAAACCATATGGAATTTAGTTTGTATGTAGTGTGAAAGGAAGAAACGTCGAGTCGAGGTGCTAAAACGTAAAGTAAATAAACGTTTTTAAAGTGATATTTTAAATATTTACATTAGAAAACACGTTTTTAACTTCTCTCCTCAAATCAACTTGATAAGTTTATTAACAAAATAGCACAATTTTTGTTTTTTATATATATTTTATATATATAAAAGAAATCTGTAATAATTAAGTTATCCATTAGTTATTAATTGTACAATCTCCTTTTTTTTTTGTTTATTTTTGTAATTTTCTTTTTATTTTATCCACCAAAAGATGCCTCTATTGACCATTCTTGTTCAAAGAACTAATTATTATAAATATGTAAATTGTTTATCTTTAAGGGGAGATTCTTATTTGGGATTAACAAACAAAAAAAAAAAACAAATCGATAATAAGTTTAAAGATGTAGTAGGTTTAAACAAAACAAATTAACAAATTATTTAAATAACAATTTAATTGTGTTTTAAAATAAAAAGGCTGTAAAAAGTTTTAACAAAAAAAAAAAATATATATTGAAAATTGAATTTTGTTTTATTTAGATAAGGTGTAGATTTAAAGTTTTAAAAAATACTTGCAGTTTTTTCAAATATCCTACATCTTACATATTGTTTCTATGCAACAATTATAACAACATTATCTTCCTTTTTATTCGGCTAAAACAAAAGAGAAATGGTGTCATATGAATAATTCACATTTTGTTGTTTTCTTGGGAGTGGCTGGTCATGACCTCAGCCACTTTTTCTAAGCATGACGCGAGCTAGTGCAGAAAGTATATTGATTTTTTTGAAATAATATGTAAATTTTCTTTAAAAAAATCATGAATTTTATATAAAAGTTCCAGTTATCGATATTTTTTCTATAAAAAATTCATGTTATTGATAAATTTTCTATAAAAATTCTAGTTATCGATACTTTTTTGCATTAAAATTTAAGTAATCGATAAATTTTCTTTAAAAAACCCATGTTATCGTTACATTTTTTATATAAAATTAAAATTATCGATTAATTTTCTGTGAAAAATTAAAAATGCCGATAAAATTTTTTGATAAGTTTAAATTGATAATTTTTTAAAGAAAATTCATGTTATCGATTTATTTTTGAAAAAAAACTTATATCTTCAAATAATCGATAAATTTTCGCTTAAATATTCTAGTTATCGATATATTTTTTATTAAGAATATAAATTAAAGAACATTTTAAAGTTATCGATAAATTAACGAGCATTTTCAAGTTATCGATAAATTGTTTATAGAAAAATTAAGTTATTAATGCTATCGATATTTTTTAATAAAATTTATCGATAATTTTTCTTTAAAAAAGCCAAGCCATTTATAAGTTTTCTTTAAAAAATTCAATTATCGATCAATTTTCTTTAAAAAGTCAAATTATTGATAACTTTTTATAAAAATTTAAGTTATTGATAAATTTGTTATTAAAAATTTGTTATTAAAAATCTATACAAATTTCAAATTATCGATAAATTATCATTAAAAAGTTCTCTTTAAATTATCAAGTTTTCGTTAAAAAGTTAAAGTTATCGAAAAGTTCTCTTTAAAATGTCAAGTTCTCGAGAACTTCTTTTTAAAAAGTCAAATTATCGATAATTTTTAAATAAAAATTTAAGTTATCGATAAACATGTTATTAAAAATCAACTTCTCGATAAATTTTCTATACAAATTGCAAGTTATCGATAAATTCTCTTTAAAAAGTCAAGCTATTGATAAGTTTCTTTAAAAAAAATCCAGTTATCTATCAATTTTCTTTAAAAAGTTTTAGCTATCGATAAGTTCTCTTTAAAATGTCAAGTTATCGATAAGTTTTCTTTAAAAATCAAATTATCGATAATTTTTTATAAAAAAAATTAAGTTATCGATAAACATGTTATTAAAAATAGAGTTATCGATTCATTTTCTATACAAACTGCAAGTTATCGATAAATTCTCTTTGAAAAGGTTAAGTTATCGATAAGTTCTCTTTAAAAAAGTCAAGCTATCGATAAGTTTTCTTTAAAAAATCCAGTTATCGATAAATTTTCTTTAAAATGTTTAAGTTATCCATAAATGTTTAAAATGTCAAGTTATCATTATGTTTTCTTTAAAATGTGAAGTATCGATAATTTTTTATAAAAAAAAATTAAGTTGTCGATAAACTTGTTATTAAAAATCAAGTTATCGATAAATTCTCTTTGAAAAGGTTAAGTTATCGATAAGTTCTCTTTAAAAAGTCAAGCTATCGATAAGTTTTCTTGAAAAAAATCCAGTTATCGATCAAGTTTCTTTAAAATGTTTAAGTTATCGATAAGTTCTCATTAATAAAGCAAGTTATCGATAAGTTTTCTTTAGAAGTCCAATTATCGATAATTTTTTATATAAAAAAATTAAGTTATTGATGAACTTGTTATTAAAAATCAAGTTATCGATACATTTTTTATACAAGTTTCAAGTTATCGATAAATTATATTTAAAAAGGTTTAGTTATCGATAAGTTATTTTTGAATAGTCTGCTATCGATAAGTTTTCTTTAAAAAAATTAAGTTATCGGTAAATATATGGGAAATTTTAAGTTATTGATTAGTTTTCTTTAAAAAATCAAATTATCGATAAATTTTCTGTAACAAATAGAGAAAATTGAAGTTATCGACAAATTTTCTCTAGAAAAGTTTCGATGAAGTTTCTTTAAGAAGTTTAAGTAATCGATAAAAATGTCAAGCTATAGATAAGTTTTCTTTAAAAAATCAACTTATCGCTAAATGTTTATTAGTTATAAGTTTTTAGGTTATCGTTAAGTTTTCTTTAAAACATTTGATAAAAAATAAAGTTCTCAACAAATTTTCTAAACAAATTTCTTGTTGTCGATAAAATTTCTATGGAAAATTGAAGTTATTGATAAATATTTGATAACAATAAATTTCCCAAATCCTCCCAAAAAGTAAATAAATAATATACTTTTATTTATATTTTTTTAAGGAATAAAATATCAAGAGTTTATTTTGTTTTTTTTTTTATTAAGTGAATTAGATAGAAGCAGGCTTTAAGTACCAAATAATTGTTTATAAAACATATGGTTGTTTGTTTTTGTTATTTTTGTCTTTAAAATTTTAACTAAAAATACAAATTAAACAGCAGGTTGTTGTAGGAAAACAATTATACATTATCAATAGGGAAGAATATTAAACATTTTAAAACAAATAATAATACTCAATTATATAAGAATAATAAAAAAAAAAGGAAATATAAATATCAAGTACCTGAAATAAACACATAAATATTATAATAATAGAATAGAAGAAAAAAAGATAAATAATAATTTAAACATGATAAAAAAAATCATCTTAAATTAAACATTTAAAAAGGACTTAGAACTAATAGAACTTTGTTTTTGTTATTTTAATATAAATAGAGATTTACGCAGAGAGCAGCATACTTTTTTTTTGGAAGTTAAAAACAAAACTATAAATATTTTTCTTGTATATAAATGCGTTCTTTTTTTGTTTGTTCTGTTTTGGTTTCTTTTTCAACGTTGACGAAAAAAATTAACAAAAATTCAAAATATTTCTGCATTAATGACTGTAAAGTGTTCTGTTTGTTAATGTCTGTTTGCCGAAGGAGCAGTTTAAAAGCTTTACCAGAAACCACCCGATGAATGGCCACCAGGTGGTACACGTGTTTTGGTTGCAGTATTGGCATTAGCATCATTATTACCTCCAATACCATTTGATGAATTCGATTTGGTATCAGATTTCTCAGCTTTGGCGGCAGTAGTGTTATCGTCATCTTTTTTATGACATACTTCTTCGCGTAATTTCTCTACGGCAACATTGGCATCCGTAGAACCCATACAAGCATTTAAATTGCTGGAGTTTTGTTGATTATATTTGGGTCGTGGTGCATTAACACTAACCTCCGGTTCGGCGAATATATTCGAATGACCACCGCCTGGAGGTTTTAAGACACGACTAGATGGACGGGCACTGCTGGTTAAGCCAATTTTTAATTCGGTTGAAGTCATATTGTCCATAAAAAATGTGGGGAGCTAATAATAATAGGAAAAAATATAAACAATTTATTTTAGATTGTTTTTGTTTAATTTAAAATCTATTTAATTAGTAATATTTCTTGGTAATAGCGAATAAAAAATAACGTATTTTTAAAATATTGCACACACCCTATTCTTTGTGTTAACTTTTAACAAATGACTTCACTGACTGTGTTTTATTTGTTCGTATATTTTTTTTACAATATGCGCAAATACAACAAAAACAGCAACAAATACACTACCGACAAATAATAGATGAAATTACAACGGAACAAAGACATGCATACATACTTACTAACACAACCCTGCAGTTTTAATGGTGGTAATCGAAAACACATCGAAAGATTTATTTTCTAAAGAAAATTTATCAATATCTGAAGAAAATTTATCGATAACTTGAATTTTTGCTAGACAAATATTCGATAACTTGTATTTTCTATAGAAAATTTATCGATAAGCCGATATAACTAAAGAAAATGTATCGATAGCTTGACTTTTTTAAGAAAACTTATCGATAACTTAATTTTTTAAAGAAAATTTATCGATAACTTTACATAACTAAAGACAAATTATCGATAACTTTGATTTTCTCCAGAAAAGTTTTTGATAACTGGAATTATCTAGGGAAAATTCTTCGATAACATGATTTTTTTTATAGAAAAATTATCGATAACTTATCGAGAACTTAAATATTCTATAGGACATATATCGATAACTTGAATTTTAAAGAAAACTTATCGATAATTTAAGTTTTTTAAATAATTTTTATCGGTAACTTGAATTTTCTATATAAATTTTTCGATAGCTTAAATTTTGTAAAGAATATTTATCGATAACTCGACATAATTAAAAAAAAAATAATTTTCTGAAAAAAAATGTATCTATAACTTGACTTCTTAAAGAAAAACTTGTCGATTACTTAACTTTTTTAAAGAAGATTTACCGATAACATAAAATGGCTATAAAAAAAAAATTATCAATAACTTGATTTATCTAAAGAAAATTTATCAATAACTTGAATTTTGATTAGAAAATTTATCGATAACTCGACTTTTTACAGAATACTTATTGATAATTAAACTTTTTTAAAGATAATTTATCGATAACTTCACATAACTAAAGAAAATTTTTGGATAATTCGACATATCTAAAAATAAGTTACAGACAACTTGAATTTTCTCTAGAAAATTTATCGATAACTTAACTTTTTTAAAGAAAATTTATCGAAAACTTAACATGACTATAGAAAATTTTTCGATAACTTGAATTTTCTAGAGACAATTTATCGATAAATTTAATATTTTATAGAATATTTATCGATAACATGAATTTTGAAAGAACATTTTTTGATAACTTGACATAACTGAAATCGATACTTGATATAAATGAAGAAAACTCATTGATAACTTAACATAACTAAAAAAAATTTATCGATTACTTGACATAACTAAAGAAAATTTATTGATAACTTGAATTTTCTAAAGAATTTTTATCGATAACTTAATTTTTTTATAAAATATATATCGATAATATCACGTTCTAAAAACTTATCGATAACTTGATTTTTTTAAGAAAACTTATCGACATTTAGAGAAACTAGAGAAATTTTATCGATAACTTTTGTTTTTTATAGAATATTTATCGATAACATGCTATAACTAAAGAAACTTTATAGATAACTTCAATTTCCTAAAAAACATTTATCGATAACTTGACTTTTTAAAGAAAACTTATCAATAACTTAACTATTTTTAAGAAAATTTATCGATAACTTGCATCTTCTATAGAAAATTTTTAGAAAAATAATCGATAACGTACACTTTTCAAAGAAAATGTATAATAAACCTGAATTTTCTAAAGAAAATGTATCGATAACTCAAACTGTCTATAGAAAATTGATCGATAACTTGCATTTTCTTAAGAAAATTTAACGATAACTCTACTATTTTAAAGAAAACCTATCGATAACTTATTTTTATAAATGTTATCGTTAACTTGACTTTTCAAAGATTTATCACTAACGTGACTTTTTCTTTAGTAATTTTATCGATAACTGAGGTGATCCTAATTACATTATCCAGCAGTCACCCAAAACTTCAGGGTACATAGAAAACAGACCATTAGTCTGCTGCCTATCTGTCTTTTTTTCTACGGATGTCTGTATGTTTTAATGGAAAAAAGCATGTACATCAAACAAAAGCATAAAAACGACAAGTACAAAAACAACAACAACAAGATTGCCAAACGAAAATAACAACAACAAGTACGGCAACAATATGAACTAGGGGCCAGAACTTTCACAACTATTTATTATTTTTATACGAATTTTCTTTTGTCTCTTCTCTCATTTCTCTTTTTTTTTTTGTTACTTTTTACTTTTCGATTTTCTGCGGTTACAGTCATTATTTTTTGCATTGTTTATGATGATTTTATTACATATACTAGAAATATTAACAACAATAATAGAAACAACTATTTTAGGTGAAATTCATTTTGTTAATATTAAAATTTAAGGCTAGATCTAGCAGCTTTAATAGATCGATAACAGTAATATAGCAAATTATTTAAATCAGTTTATTAGAAACCTAATTAGTTGCCGTTTAGTTTTGGTTCCCTTTAGTTTTTTATCTTCGGCAGTTATCTATAGACAATCAATACAATGACCTCTTTAGAGTGATTGTGTTTAATGATAAAATTGTATGTACTTTTTTTCTTTTAAAACAAAATTTATCG